ATATATATATATATATATATATATATATATATATATATATATATATTGTGGGGTAAGTGCAGAAAACACCCTGAAGTATACTTTTCGTAGAACTTTTATCCCTTATTTGAAAAAGTATGCAGTAAACACCCCTAATCTTTTGATATTGTGCAAAATTACCATTCTGTTAGAAATATAACATAAATTAGTGCTGTAATACCTATGTTGCCCTTTTATTCTCTCTAAAATGCCCATGCTCATCCTCTTCACTGCAATAATCTTCTGCCGTATGTAATCTAAAATTGTAGCACATACTTGTCTGTATGTAATCTTCATGCCAAATTAAATCCATAACTTGCACAACAATTAGTTGTGAAAAGTAAAAAACTAGCTTGACTCGGGATCCAGGGGAAGTTAATTAGTGATAATGAGTAAGAAGTTTAAGGAAAAAGAAGATGGGTTCACTGATGAATCACCAATTCCAGAGCAATTCAAAATGGTTTTAAGTAAAACAAATCATGATGACAGTGAAATAAAGTAGCAAATTTGATAAGAAGAAGCATATTAAGGATTATCTCCACTTGAAATTAAAGGAGAGTATACTTTACAAATTTCCCCCTTTTTCAATTGTAAGTTCCAAATCAAAAGGATTACAAAGTTTGTTTTCTGTTTATACTGAATTAATCAAGGTTCTAAACTCCTACTTTATGTTCGTCTTCTACTACTCTAGACATGAAAGTTATTTCAATTTTCGATCGAAAGACCGCCACTTTGGAAACAGAATTATGTGTAAGCTCATGGATAAAGCATGAATAAGCCAGAGTCAAAATCTTAGACTTATTTTGATAGGCTCCAGGACAAAATCGACGACATTGGCCTTAGAACACTCCCACATAAGATGGTCTCCACCAGTGCCGTTCACCGGATTCACTGTCAGCATTATGGCTCAACGTTGTCTGGAGGAAGAGTAGGCCTTTCAGTGTTATCTTATTCACCTGCCTTGTTGCAATTAAATCTAAAGGAGTTTATAAAGCAATTATCTAAAATTGCTGCTACAAATAGCAAAATAAGCCTTTTTCTTCTTACCCTTTCCTCCTCTTGGGACTTTTTATAAAGTCAATATCATCATCGCTATCATTGATGATTCTTTTCTTGGCTTTTACATTGTCATTTTTTGACACCTGCTTCTGCTTTTTCAAACTCTCAGTTCTACTTGGTTGTGGTGGTGGAGATTTAATGGGAGTACCCATTCGAAGTTGCTTTTGTTTCCTTTTCTTCTTTTCGTATGCCTTCTTTGTTGTGGGGAGTAGGAAGAGGAGGTCAAAGAGATGAGAAGGGAAAAATAATGTCCTTTTTGGTCTTTTTACCAAAAAAAAGAAGTTATTTTTATATATTTTATAAAATTATTCAATAAGGGTAATTTGGTCAATCGAGATTTTAAATGTGTCAGGGGGACTTAATTGCACCAAATTGAAACTTAAATGGTTGTAAGCATACTTTAGGAGTGTTTTTTTGCACTTGACCCATATATATATATATATACATACATACATATATATATATATATATATATATGTATGTATGTATGTATCACCAAATTTATATCCCTATACGTATAACACCCATCACTCTAACCTTATCTTCTGCCCACACTACATCAATTTCCTAGCCAACTCAGTCCAACTCACCACCAAAATCCTCCATAACTTAAGCCTCTTTATCCTGCATCGTTTTTGCCATGGACACCATGGCCCACCAACAAAAGAGATGGGGTAATGAATGAGGGCAATTATGTTCTTTCGATGTTTTGGAATAAATAACATTAAAAAATTGGGGACAAAATGGTTATTTTAGACCATTTTTAACAGTGTCATTGACGAAAAAGGCATTTAGGGTTTGAGTGAAAGTTATTTTTTGAAAATGTCTTAGTGTGATATTTGTCCAAATCTTAGAGAGTGTCACTAAAATTATCGCAAAAAATATAACTCAACTCAAGAACCTATTGATTGAAGATGATAAGATACTAATCAAAGAGAGGGCACCTATGATAAGATACCTATATTCACGGTCTAACACTGTCGGCGTCTCAAAAATGCAAAAATAAGGCCAAGTCAAAGTGGTGGTGAAATCTAAATGCAGATATGAAGGATGATGCTTTGTTAATAATGATGCAGTGGACAAGGTGGTCTGAGTCATGAGATTAAAAAGGGTTTAAGGAACTTCATAGAAATTAATATATAAAACATACAACATATTATAAAAGTCAAGGGGTACAATTTACTATTTTATGGAGTCAAAGACAAGATGTTTTGATAAAATAAAATGACTAAAATGTTGATGTGGAGATACAAATTAACATAATTGTAAAAAAAAGTTTAAAAAATGTTTCCTGTAGGTATTAATTCTATGCACGTACATGAGTGCCATGTTTGTGCATGTATCACTTTTTGTGCACTTTGGTATCACTTTTTATTTTATTTTATTTTATGTATGAGTGAAACAAATTTATTTGATGAAGGAAGAATTTACAGGCTAGTGGCCCAAAACACAAAGGTAACAAAACATACATACAAAACCCAGCCCAGCCCAACTAGATTAGGCCCAAATAAGAGCCCCAAGCATTATAGTTCAAAGGAGCATTGCTCTGGTTCAAAAACCAGATCAATGTTCCTCTGCGATGCGGTGGAGAAAATCCGTTCACAATGAAGGATGAGGGAAGCTCCCAATCCTGCATCACTCTAATTGCTGCTGTAGAGTGCTTCCACTTCACACTGAAGTTTTCCTCTTAACGTTAAGCACTTGGTTTGCTGAGGAGGCCTTTCCTTGAAACAATTTCTGGTTCTTTCTTTCCATAAACAGTAAATACATGCTCCGAAGCTCAATTTGCATGGCCATGTCCAACAGTTCTTCTTGGTGCCGTCTTTCCAATGACTAGATGTACAGGCTATAAGATCATTCCAGCTTGAAGGTAAAATGTGGAATGCACATTTGAGTTGAATGAACTTCCAGATATAGATGGAATTTGAAAATTCACACTCGAAAAACATGTGAGAATGAGATTCTTTGATGAGAAGCATAGTGAGCAGAAGTTAAGCCAATGACAGTGCAGCAAGGACTGGCTACCTTGCATTTGGAGTCTCTCTTGTAAAGCAAGCCAAAGGATGAAGTTATGGCTCTGTATGCACGGAATAAAATCATTAAACCAGGAGATAGCAGCCCAATCCATTGGGGATGGAGAAGGAGATCGAGAGAGCTTTGAGAGTGTAGGCCAAGAGATTGAAGTTTTGTGCATATATCAGTAAGTTAGGTCATTTTTCTAAAAGTTAAAAAAAAAAAAAAATCGGAGGATAGTTTGGGCATCAACTAAAAATAAACTATGTTTTTTTTATGTCCACAACAATATTTTAGTTAAATCTAAAAAATGTTTTTTTTGACTCTATCAAAAATTCAAATAGTGCTCATATATATATATATTGTAATTATCCCTAAAAGTCATTTTTTTTTTTTTTTTTTCCTAGTTGAATTATCCCTAAAAGCTATATCACAACAACAATTGAAACCAACACAAATTTAGAAAGTTAATCCAAGGACTCTTAAGACATAATTTTTCTGGTTGATTCAGATTTGGTACTAGTAGGAGTCTTAACTTTCTGGTCAAGTTGGTCTCGTTCTTGTGTTCGTAAGATCATTTGCATCTATAACTTGGGAAAAATGGACACAACATGTCGTAACAGCTGTAGCAACGTATCACTATAAATATGACCTCTCTCACCAACAAAACATATATGCGATAATTAATATAATAAATTCTTTCTATTTATTTGATTGACGGAGAGTTCTTGACAGATAACACGTTGATAGCGATCAAAGTTCATTTCTTTGTTACAAGAAAATGATGTCATTCCGTATGCATATCTGGCTTCAACAAATTGCTAGCAAGCAAAAATAGGTCCATCAAAGCTCAAATTTTTAAAAAAATAAGTGTTTATGATGATAAGAATGCCAATTGTTAGTAGCCGAATAGAAAAGGGTTTCCATGCTGCCCACAAATATACAGTCGGGCAAACAGTTATTGAATATTCCGACCAATCAAAACCCCCAATTTACCTTGATAACGGGAAATGAAGTGTTGTGAATGACCGGGAGTATTTAATACCGCTACATCCAGAGTACCAAATAACTTCTCCCATGCTGCCATGGAAGAGGAGAGTTAAGAGGCTGCGGAGGCGGACGAATGACAGAGTTAAGGAGATCTTCACCTACCAGAAGATGTCTAGAGGCATCTAAGTCTCTCAATTGCTTCCCCATGAGTTTGCCATGAATTGAGTTCAAAATTTGTTAAAGAACAACATTAATCTTTGAAGGTGTAATGCAACGACGTCCAAAACGATTTTTTGCTAGTGTCCAACAATATTGAATCTTACACAGTGATCAATGGGACAGAGTCTCTTTCTTTTTAAAATGTTTAGTTCAAAAGATTGTCGAGTAAAATGTGAACTAAGGGCTCGATAGTGAAGGGTTGTAATTTAGTGGTATTAATGGGACAGAGCCTCTTTCTTTTAAAAATGTTTAGTTCAAAAGATTGTCCAGTAAAATGTGAACTAAGGTCCTTCACTCGATAGTGAAGGGGTGTAATTTAGTGGTAATCAATCTAACAATGGACTCCACTCGCTGCTGAATTGTTCTCTCATATCACAACTTTAGTACTGCACCAACAATTAACACACTCGAGAGAATTTGTATCCATCAATATATATAATTGTTTTGCTCACCCCACGTTAGTAAGTAAATAAATAAATATAAATATAAATATAAATATAAATATAAATCAGTCCTCAAATTTTTATATATTGTCCCTTGGTAGAATTTGAACACCCAACTCCATCATTTGGAGAGACAAAGTTTATATCATCTAAGTTAGTGTCGATTCGATTGATTAGAATATTAATGTCAAACAAATACTCTTTAGAAGCTGGCTAACATGACCAATTTCATATTACCGAATATAGCATTATATCATATTCACTTAATTTAGAACTGTGATATACATCATAATAAAGTAGCGAATTATATATGGCCAACTTCTTCATAGAAATCCCTTGAATAATCCAATCAAAGCTACAATGAATAGGTAATTTATCAATCAAAATTTATCTATTTAGCAAACAAAAGAATCATGAATATATAATTTATCATTCGCATTTTCCAGAAGCCATTTCGTGTTCTCTTTCACTTCCTTACTGGTACTTGCATTCACCTTTGCCTGTAATCAAACATACCAAACATGCATCAATATCTTAATTTGTACGTTCAATTCAGTTTTGTCCAATCGATCGTAAAGTTGTCATACAATTTATTATTTAGAATTGTTGTTAAAAGTGTTATATACTTACTTGGGTCAGTGTTGGTGACAACACCACTGCCATCGAAATCACAGTCTTTGCCTCCAGATGATTGATAGAAAGCGTTCATTGCATATGATGCGTGAGCCATGGCGGCATTGGTAGGGTCGAAGCATGGCCCGCCGGATTGAATGGGCTTGCAGTCCACCTTGCCGCAGGCGAAGTCTATGCTCGACTGCAACTTCTGAGCATCCGTGCCGGGTTTCGCAACGCACCATGTCTTTCCAGAACAAAAATTAATGAGAACACAAATTTTTTATGTTTTTATTTTATGTAGTACTCCCTAGGTCCTTTATTTGTTGGCCATCTTTAATTTTAAAACTTTTTAGGGAACATGCAATTAATGTATTGTCCCTTTTTAAATTACTAAATTATCTTTTAAACATTAAATATATATATAACACCAAGTTGTAAGATTTTTGAAAAATTAAAAGAGTAATTATGGAAAGATGATATTTATTTTGTTTGACTTTTCAAAATAGACATTTAATTTAGAATACTCTAAAAGAGAAAAATAGACTACCAATACGAGACAGAGGGAGTATAAAAAAGACAAGTGACACCTATCATAAATTTTCTAGGAGGCCTGTACCTTTTTTGGTTTATTATCCGGTGCCGGATTATCCTTTGACTGTTCAGGTGTTTCCGAAGCAGGTTTAGTTTCTGGTGTCGAATTATCCTTTGACGGCTCAGGTGTTGCCGGAGCATCCTATATATGCAATGAAAAAGTTATAAATGAATACTATTTTCATGATCTGTTAATCTAGCTATTTATTCTGTCAAAAAAACATCCTAGCTGTTTAAACTTTAACAGGACAAGAACATAATAAGCTCTTCTTTAACATGTGCAATATCTGCTTAATTAATGGATTTTTTAAGAACAGAATAAAAAGCACATGCCAAAGAAAGTTAAGTACGAGTAGGATGGCAATTTCCCCGTAGTAATGGTATTCGCCCTGTTTATAACAATTTCGGGGAATCATTTAATTTAATTGGGGGGAATGATTTTTATTAGTAAAAATTCGTGCAGGGGCGGAGTGGTGGGAGGTCGTCCTGCCCCGTTTATATTTCCTATTTATTGAATTATCCTTATATATATATATATACACACACACACATTTAAGTTAGAATCCTAAATCCTAATCTCAATAACCCTTAGCCGCAGTAATCTCAACAACCCGAAATCCTAATTTCACCATATTTTTTTTCATTGGTATGTTTTGTTAGATTTGAGTGCAGAAATTAGGAAAATAAATGGTGGGAATTTGGAACTAAACCAAGCAGAGCGGGTGCACACGGGGTGAGAAAACTTAAATGGCACAGGGACGGGTAGGAGGGTACTCTGTTTAGTCAATTTTGGGTGGAGACAAGGCAAGGTAATTTAAATGAGGATGGGGTGAGCTAGTATACATCTGCCCAAAATCGTCCCCATTTACCGTCCGTAAATATGAGGGACCATGATCTTGAGACCTTGATCTTGAGAAAGTATACAATATCAAAGTTTTTATTGTACCCGTGTCCAATGGGTTATAGAAACTCAAATTATAAGAAATAGAGAATTTTTTAAAAACCAGGATGCTACGCGTGATAACTCACGAAAAAATTCTCAATTTGCATGGATAATAGACTAATTGAGAATTTTCAAGAAAAAACCTCCAGAGTAGGAGGTAGCATACAATAAATACAAAAAAAGTATTGTATGCTTTCTCCATGCTTAATACATTGTAACTTATCGGAGCCATAAGGATAACATAAATTTTTATGTCTAAATTCTATTAAAATTTTATGTCTACATTCTGTAGTTAAACTTGTTTGTCAAAAACCTCAGGTGGGCTGAAGTAGGACCATCAATGGTCATAATGCTTTTAGGTTAACAAATAGATTTAATTATCATTTTCAATTTCATTTTCTGTATCATTGCATACCTGTCGTGGACCCAAAACTCCAACGTCATAAACCGGGGTGAAATCTGGCCGGAACAACCCGAAGTTCTTCTCAGCAATTGAACCTGGTTTCTGGTTCTCATTGAACAAGGCAAAAATAAAAGTTTCAAAATTCTGTTTTGGCATCAACGGTGTCCCTTGACCGGAGGTAGCCTTCTGCAACACGTTGAAGTTGTGCTGCCTGGCATTCTCAACGTTGTTTTGTGTCAACCAGGGCTCACCCATGGACGGCCACCCGGTCTCTCCCACCACAATCTCCACATCTCCATACCCTAAGCCCTTCATGGCACTGTATACTGAATCCAACAACTGATCATAAATGTTGGTGTACAATAGCCCCGTGTTCGGGTCCCGAACACCGGCGTTTGGCTTGAAGAGAACGTAATCTGCCTTCTCCGAGCTGTAGGCGAAATACGGGTAGGGATTAATCATAAACCCTGATTTGGTTTCACGTAAAAACTCAAGCATGGGTGCTATAAAGGATTTCTCAACATCCGGGTGGAACCTCCCGGCGCTCGGGATCGGGTTGGGAAGGAGGATGCTGAGAGAATGAGGGGTTGTGATCTTAACGTCCTTAATGTCAGCCTGCTGGAGAGCTTGGCTTAGGGTTTTCATGGCGGGTACGAGGCTGCTTTTCTGGTTTGCGTCACCCCAGTGGAGGAGTTCACTTCCTAACAAAATGTACTTAATTTTGGTTGCTGGATAGAATGGTTTAAAATTTTTCTCGATCCACTGGCCAGCCCCGCCGATAGTGGTGAGGCCTGGGATGTCGCCGTTGGGGATGGTGATGGAGACGGCGATGCCAGTGTCGGCGAAGGCCTTGATAACGTCGGGGTTGGCATCGAAGAGCTTGACTGAGTCTATGTTGGTCTTGTCTTTGATAAATTGAGCCACCTTGTCCGGCGGTGGGAGGTTGTCGCCGAGAGTTCCATAGTTGATGCCGATGGAGTGGACCGAGGCGAAACACTGGATTGCAAGAGCAGAAATGAGGAAGATAAGACGGTATGGAGATTTCCTCGCAGACATCTCCATTGTCAGGCCTGGTTTGAGATCGATTGAGATCAAGGAGTGTATATATATAGGGAAATGTTAAAAGATAAGAGCAACTGATTAATTGGGATAGAATTCGTTAGTTTTGTTTGTCTTTGCTAAACTGAGGAGAGGGAAAAAGAATGTGCTGGTTTTACGTGTGCGCTAAAATTGAGAGAGAGAGGGGGGAAAGCAATGAGAGGTGTTAGAATTGCTAAGGCCTTAAGGGTGTAGAGTGGTGATGAAATTCCGGGATTTTCTATACCTAGTCAAAACAGACGTGCTTAGAGGGGTTGTACTTTGGCCCTTTGTGTGAATTGTGTGAGAGTATTAATGTTACACTGTTGGATTGGTTTTTTATTGCCACATAATAAAAACCACAACTTCTATTGTTTTCCATCCCTGTCAAAGTTAGTTTCGTTAGCATTGTTGACATCTATTGTAACAGTATCAAACTACCCTTAAAATTTTTAGAAACAAAAATGGCTGATCGCCAACTGATGTCATAAAAAAAATAAAAAAATAAAGTAAAGGAAAAAGAAGGAAAAAAAAACCCTACAAAATTGCCTCTTTTACCTTTCTAACCCTAAAAATTGACACCGATTGTCCCTTGCCAAAGCCCAACTAACTAACTCAATGTTACTTAGCCTATGTTTTTTAGAGAATGCAGAATGAGTTTTTGGCCCAACATTGAAGCCCAGCTGAGAACTATCAAAAAAGAATTATATGAGGAACCACCTGGAAAGATCTAGAAGTTTAGAACTTGTTTGTTTGTAATTTTGAAAACAGTTCTCAAGAATTCAAAGAACAGTAAACAGTTTTATGAAAATTGAACCAAGCAGAGATTTTTGTACCGTTTTCAGTTTTCTAATAATAAAAAATTATTTTCGTAATTATAAACCAAACAAACCCCTCCTTTTAAATGGAAAAAAATGGTGTGCAATTTTGACATTTCTAGGAGTTATGACCTTTTTGGTAAAAGGCATTTTTTATATGACTGAAAATTTTGCAGTTCGGAAATACATACTTGTTGGGTTTTTCTCTCTCTTTTCTGCTCCAACTCTTTTGATCAGTTTCCAAGATTATTACTCTCATTTTTAGGACTTCTTTTGATAGGACTTTCAAGTCCCTAAGTCTTTAATTTAGTTTAGTAAGTTGTGAGTAAAAAAAGTCTTCTGCCTTTTTATTTTCTTTACTTGTTTTTTGTGTTTTGGAAATCTACCTATTGCTGGAGGGTTGTTCCATGCCCCTATTTAATGAAGTTCCTATTGATGTACTTAGAAGTCAGTTTTTGATGAATTTAAATGATATTTGAGCGTTTGGCTTTTAAGGAGGAGGAGTTCTTGTTATCCAAACTCTGTATCCCTTTAATGGATTGTAGTGGGTGGTGGGAAATTATATATTTCTTGTTCACTTCTGTTACCTCTTGTTTCTCGATAATCTTTCGCATCTCAAATTAGTATCAGAGCTTAGGTTTCAGATGGCCAGTCCTCGTCGTGGCAAGCCAAATATTTAAGAATCGGCAGCTCGTGAAAAAGACCTAAAAGATGTTGAGATGGATGATCTAAGGAGATAAGTGGAGCAACTCCTGCAACTTTTACAACATTGTGAACTATTGGGTCATGCATAATGAAGCTCGTCATGGTTCAGAGCATGCCACATCAAATGATCAACATTGTGACTTTCTCAATAATTCCTTTGGTGGAGCCCTAAGGTGTGACATTTGGTATGTTAGAATTCAAGGACTTTCTAAACTCTAATGGCCGGGCTTGAGGACCTGAGGTTTAATGGAATTTTTCACATATGGTCCAATGATAGCGTTGGATGTGCTAACATCTCAAGGAAATTGGACAGAGTGCTCATCAACCAACCATGGATGTCTAGATTTCCACAATCTGAATGCCAATTCTTACCCCAGGGAATCTCAGACCACTCACCTATGATTGTTAATTTTGGAACACTTGTTTCTAGAAAGAACAACCCCTTCAGATTCTTCAACTTTTGGGCCATTAATCCTAATTTCTTAACCACTATTTCACAAGTTTGGCAAATGGAAGTGCATGGTTCAAGGATGTTTAGGTTGGTGCAAAAGCTGAGAGCACTAAAGTAACCACTCAAGCTCTTAAACAAGAAGGAATTCAGTGCCATTTCAGAGAGGGTTGCAGCTTGTAGGGATGAATTACACCTTTGTCAGAGAGGACTTGACTCCAATCCAGCTCAAGACAAACTTAGACTCGGAGAAAAGGAGTTATCACAGAAACTCTCTGAATTAGTTTTGGCTAAGGAAAAGTTCTTTAAGCAAAAATCATCAGTGTACTGGCTTAGAGAGGATGACCAAAACACCTCCTTCTTCATGAGAAGCTTCAATTCCAAAGCTAACAGGAGGAAGGTCCAATCAATTACTGATCCTAATGGATTCCAACTTCAAGGACAGGAGCTTAAAGCGGAATTGTTCAACCATTTCCAAGCCATTCTTGGACAATGCAGCAATAGCGACTCAGGTATGGACTTTATCTCATCAGTGATATCCAAGACTGTTCCATCACACCTTCTTCCTTCACTCTTAGCAATTCCCATAGATTCAGAAATACAATCCTCCATTCTCTCATTCCACCCCTATAAGAGCCATGGGCAGATGGATTTAATTCTTGCTTCTTTAAACACTCTTGGCCAATTGTTGGTCAGGATGTTATTGCAGCAGTTAGAGATTTCTTCATTTCAGGAAGAAAGTTAACTGAAATAAATAACTCATACATTGCCTTGGTGCCCAAAACCCCAAACCCTACCTCAGCCAATGACTTTAGACCTATATCCTACTGTAATATAATCTACAAGACCATTTCTAAGCTCGTATCCATCAAATTAGGTCCTATACTTCCCATTCTTATCAGCCCTACCCAAACTGCATTCATCGAAGGATGCGAGTAGGATGATCCAAAAATTCATTTATGCCTTTTTTCAGCCTTAAAACGGATGACTCTGAACCAAATTGCTTTCTTACATTTTCAAGTGACCCCAAACGATTATATACGGCTTAGAAGACAGTTTTAAGGTTCCCAATGCGTTGCACGGTCCAAAAAGACTGAATTACCCCTTATTAAACCGATTTAAGGATTAAGTTTATTCTTTCAATCGTAAGTGAATCAAATTGATTTGTAACGATCATGATGGCAGTATTATGGGACTATAGTACCCTTTAATGGTCAAAAAGACCATTTTACCCTTTGGTGTTCCCAGGTCGGGTCATGATCCGATTTGTGACCTGTACCTCCAGGTTTGGGTCGTTACACTATGGTGGAGGGAAGTTAGGAAAGAAGGATCGAATAAATACCTTCAATTGGTAGAGTGGAGACAAGGAGGGAAATAATAATAGGATGGATAAGTCAACCTTCCTATCTATTCTCCTCCACAAATTTTCATCTCTCCAAATATGAAGAGAATAGAGGAGGAAAAACAAGTGTGGTTATTATAAAAGTTTTAAATTATAATACTATTCTTTATAAATTACAACAATATAGATAATGATGGATATAATGGTAAAGACAACTCAAAACTCTCTTCCATTCTTTCCTAACTAACAATGTAAGTTGTCACTTTCTTCTTCTTCTTCTTTTCCATTCAACCAAACAAAAAGAGGGAATGACACAATCTCTTCTCTAGAGATATTTCATCCACCTATTCTTCTTTCCCTTCCATCCAAAATTAAATCACACCCTCATGGCACAGTTACTGTTGTTATTTGTTTAACAAGGTTTAGTTATTTTCCATCAAATATATATTAGTATTTCCGTATGCGCGTATACAACCTTGTGTGTGTTTACAGATCATATAACTTAAACTGGAAGGGTGGAAGAGGTTTTGTGCTGCAGAAGCAAAATAGCCAGAACAAAGAATCGTCACAAAACATATTCAAAAGCGATGCAGATTTTAAAAAAGAAAAAAATATCTCAAGGAAAAATCCGGGGAAAAAAAAAAAAAAAAAAAAAACAAAGCCCAATACTATTATTTACAAAAGAAAAAAATAACACAATACTGTCAGTAATGAAGCAATAAGGAAAAAGCATATTCTCAAATATTATTATAGCCACTGAATACAAGTGACCAACCAATGGTGCTTTGTGTTACTCAACATAGAAGATGACAAAAGTAAGCAATGAATGAAAAACTAACAACTGTATAACTAATTAACACATCTATGCTTGTAAGGAAATATGACAAATATGATAGCATCAATATTTAGCAACCAATATCAGTTCGAGGATCAAAGAAGCACATTACTAGAAATGTGAACAACAGTTATCACAAAAGCCAATATTGATCTAACAATAAAATTTTGATGGTTTCTGTCAATGAAGACTTTTTCTATGTCTTAAGTAAATCTCTGGCCTAATTTGCTGCTTTTAGCAGAGCAACCACTTTTTCAAGCTTGCTAATTCTAGCTTCAATTTCCAATCCCTCTATTTCATATGTATGATGAGCGTTGCTTTCTCCTACATGGCTGTTAGTTCTCGTCGCATTATAAACTGATGTTCCTGCTAGATTGCTGTCAATGCTTACCATATTATTAACCGGAGCCCTCACTTGACTTTCAATTGCATCAATATCCACCATCATATCTGCTCTACTTTCACTTGCATCATCTGCAACTGTCGCGGCAATCTTTTCTGGAATTTTAACCACCGACTCCATCATTTGAATAGTTCCACTATTCGAAGACGATAGAGTTTGCAATTGAGATCCCATTGAAGGCTGGCCGCCTCTACGCTTCATATTTCTTCTCAACATCTCCGATATTAATAATCTGTCATCATCACTAGAATCACTTGATTCAATAGAAATGGATTTGGGTGGAAAACCAGGAGGCACAGCAGGATCTGTTTCTCTCTTACAACTTTGTGGAGTTCTTTCCAAACTATTTGAATTAGCTTCTTGCTGATGCTGACCAATCTTTATTTTATTCCACCACTCCAAATATCGAGTGGTAACACCCGGCTCACAATGTCGTGGTGGAATATATAATTTCTTGTCCCTAATTGACCTCTTGTAATTACTCCAAGCAATTGCAGGAGTTGCATTGGAACGAGAAACCGGACCTGGAAGATCTTGATCCAACCCAAACTGTCTTGCTACTCGATGTGGGAGGTACTGCTCTATACACCTAGCTCCATGCCCAACCAGCTCGCAGACCCTCAAGCATAAAGCAAGCGACTCCATTTTCTCATCCATCCCTTGACGAAACAATAACCACTCTCCTTTCTCATTGTCCGCAGCATAAGGCCGCCACAGAAAATATTCTCCAGCTGAATCTAATGTCAACCTTATATTCTCAATGTTCACTCTCTTAGCTTTCTCCCATCGAGCCAATCTTGGCTTACCATGTCCATCGGAATTGGCATTTGGCTGCAATGTAAGAAACCTCTCCCACGCCCAAACCTGAACATATTGTAATGTCGTGCAAACTGTAACTCCTAATCTGTTTGGGGACAGAATAGCCTCTTTCAACAAACTCAAATCTTTGTAAAGGCTTGCAAGAACAGCAGGTGCGAGCGCGATTCTAGTACCTCTAGCTAGATGAATAGCAATTGGAATAACATCTTTTCCTATGGTTTTATGTAATTGTGCGAAGACAAACCTTGACAACCAAAAGGCTAGGAATGCTTCATGCTCTACGTCGCTTCCACTAGCCATGAATTTAGACATCCATCCATGTTGGCTGGCCCTCTTAGCTTTACTCCTGATTACTTCAGACCGTGCTCGGAATAGTTTCTCTTGGGTTTCCTCCATTTCTCTTGATTCAAGATGGCTTGAAACAGAGTCACCCAAAACAGAGTAACCTCCCAAAATCATTATATCTTCGAGAGTGATGGTTGTTTCTCCCCACGGAAACACAAATGTGTTGGTCTCAGAGCACCATCTCTCTGCAAACCCAAACACCAACTTGTCATTTCTTATGATTGCGTAGGTTGAATTCATGATGGCTTCGTCAATTCCGGCCTTCTTCCACGCTGATTGGTGCAAGGAACGCATGCTACTCACCCATGCTTTCCAATCCTTTGTTGCGTATCTCCAGCCAATGAACGCCGTTTTGAGTGGCGGTTTGTTTGACACGGAATTGGCGGGTACAGAGGTGGGAGAAGACGAAGGAAGATCAGAGGCTGGTCCATCAATGGAGGTGACGGTGGGTTTGAGGAAATGGGCGATTCTGAGAGTTGGGTCTCCGCCTTTGGGTGAAACCATGAGCTCTTCTCTCTCTTCCATGATGGTGTCCTCTGCCATGGATGGAGATCGATCACCTGTGATTCCAAATTGTTTGTAGGTACACTAAGAATGTATAGGTTGAAGGATTTCAAGAGTAGAGAGAGGGAGGCGTTGGAAGTGAATCGACTGGAGTTGGAACGTGGGAACAATGATGAGAGGAGTTTAGAAGTCCAAGCGGGTATTTGGGATTGCTTCTCTACTGTTGGAAAGTATTTCTATTTTAAAAATCCGTGTTGTTATGTGTTTGGTGAAAAAATAATAATAATAATAATCTTCTAAATGGTAGAGATTAAATCTAAAAAGCGCGTTTGAATGAAATTAAAAATTGTAACTTTTAAAATTCCGTTAAGATAGAGGTTCATGTTTTAAGGTAACTAATTTTTTTTTTTTTTTTTTTTGACGGTTTAATCCCTTTATATTTTTTATAAATATAATTGTATCCCTTCTACAAACAAATAGCAAACAATATGGACTGTGTAATAAACTAAAATCTTAATTTATTTTGTGACTCTTCAGCCTTCTAATCTCAGTTTATTTTGGGATTCTAAATTATTTAATTGTTTGATGCTTAATTTTTAATAAATTATGATTTATAATTTGTTTTTAAAATAACTATAATACATCTATACTATTATCTTAAGTAATAAGTAATAAGATTATTAATTGTGGTTAAAGTGTCTACTTTTATTTTATGAAGTGTTGTCTATATTGCAAAATGTTATATTACTAAATTTCATTATTAGATAGCATATGAACAAATTTGCTTAATTTATTACTAGAAAACCTAAATCAAATACAAATTAATCATTATTAAAATATGTTTATCTCATTTATATTTTAGTACTCAATACAAATTCAATATCATAAACAAAATATGTGATATTAAAAATAAAAATAAAAACACACCGGTACAAGTTGATCTTTATAAATTATTCAAATTAGTGAAATTTTATAATATTTAATATTAGGAAATTAGTATATGTTTAGTGTAATGATAATATAATAAAATTAGTAATAAAAGTGCTTTAAGCAACATTATTACCAAACAAATTTAAAAGTGCTTCAAGTATAAAAAATGTTTTATACAATATGTCACTATATTTATAATAGCTCTATTATTAAAATCGCTTTTAACATTCTAACAGCAATTCCAAACTGACTCTAAAAGTCTCTTGTGTTTATGTAATTCTAGAACAATCATGCGTCTCTTCAACTGCACCCACGCGGTAGAGTTGCAAATTTACAGGAGACCCCAACTAAAACTACTCCATTTCATCATGCTCATATTTTATTTTATTGTGATATAAAATATTTCCGATATTGAATGGGCTACTCTAAAGTTTTTGGACGTGGGTAATGGGGGTAATTCTTCGATTGGATCTTTGTGCATTTGAGGGGTAAGACAAAAATGAGGTCTCTAAATGATTCTAGTAGTCATAATATTTGTGAGGCTTATAAAGATAATAAGCTGATGGGTTTGATACATGTTATTTGTGTGGTTAGTGTTTTTCGAAAAAAAATAAAAAAATAAATAAAAAAATAAAAAAATAAATAAAGGAGGAGGAGGAGGAGGAGGTAGGTCCAATGTAATTAGAGCATGAAAAATCTCGCTCCAACTTAGGCCTCCTTCCATCAAGACTAAGTAAGTTTGATCAAAAAAATATGCATTTGTCTCAATTGAACATTGGGATATTTCGATTGATCAAAATCCTATGTAAATAAGAATTGTGCTAAATCACGTAAAAATTCTTATAGATTTCGTGTTCATTAACATCTAAGTAATTTATTTATTTGGTGAATTGACTTTAAGTAATGCAAAGATAAAAAAATTATAGTACTTGTCTCAATCTTGTCAAATATAACTATTTATATTTATAAAAATTAACATTATTTATAAAATGGGATCTTTTGATAAATGTAACTCTTTGCTCCTTCATCCTTTAACATTGAGCTTCTATATACGTTCTCACATAAGCCTCTCAACATTGAAATAAATTTACACTTCAAAAAAACAAAGCATTGAAATAAATTTAAATTATAAAAATTCCGTGTGCTTAATTAATGGGTTCAACTTTTTTTTTTTTCCCCCAAAAACTTAATCATAGTATAGATGAAAGTAAATATGTACAAGTGAATGTTGGGCTAAAAGGACATTAATGCGTTCAACGTAATGTGTGCAACTATTCCAAATACTGCTCTATATATGTTTGAAAACTCAATAGAAAAAATTTGATCATATATATAATAATCAAATCACAGTGTTTTTCTTTTTCTTTTTATATTTTGATTGTAAAAAGGAGTAATTTAGAATTTAAAATCTATATTGTCATGACAGGTAATTTTCCAAAGTCTAGCCCTTCAAAAAGCTACCTTTTGACCCCCATTTTATGGATCCTGGTCTCCTTGTCTGACGAGTTAGGGAATGGAAAGCCCATTTTGGACCATGTGAAGGCTAACCTCAGCACATGATGCTCTCAATGGAGAGAGAAGATGTTGATTTCCCCACTAAAAGTCTAAAATAGCATTCTCTCGGTAGGAAATATGAATTGAATAAAATAAGATTGGTATCTTTGAAAAGAAGATTCAATAATTATCTATTTTGAATTTAAAATAGGAAAAGTCACGATTTTTTAAAAGAGATATTCTTTTTGAAACAATGAGAATACATTTTTATTAAATTTAATTTTTATAAAATAGTATTTTCTATTTCTTTTCAAGTTACTAAGTTTACTATGTCATGAATATAATTTGTGAAGTTTAGCATTTTTCATAGATTATTAAACAAAAGTTATAGTTTATTTAATGTTATACATGTAGTTAGTTTCTCCACCATTTACAAAAGTTTCAGTCTGTGCTAGGGTAAATCCATGCCTATAACAGAAACATGAATACCATGGATGAGACTGTTCATGTGATCATTGCGAATTTACAATGTTTTATTGACATTTAAAATATCTTTCTAATAACCTGTATCATAACAAGACAAAATTTAATTTTGAGAGCAGTAACTTAATTGCATTATAAATTTTCACCGACCTCAATGGTTGCCTTATTATTACTTTAGTACGGGGGTTCGAGCTTTAGTATTTGGGTTCGAGCTTTAGTCAGTCATTTCGAGTCTGAGTTCGAGTTCGAGTTCGAGTCAGAGAGTACTACACCGAGCCGGTTCGCCTATTCCTTTAGTTTGCAGTGCTACTACCGAAGGAAGACAAGTCGTTGTATCCTGGGAGATAGACGCCACTGAGTCCGTAAGCATCATAGCGGGGCGAATCTGTCTTAAGGACATAGAATCAAATTCTAACCTCGACTTTTAATTAGGTTCCTTTATTTATAATTTGTATTTTATTTTTTTAAACTATACATTATAAGTAATTGTATATATAGATTATTATTTTATAACATTTATATATATAAGCATTATATTATTTTATATTTACAGATAATATTTAAATAAATAATACTATAGTATAGGGTATACTTAGACCATATTTTGGACAACAATCTTAAGACAGATTCATATTATACTATAGTTTAATTATTTAAATATTGTTGTATTTTATTTCTGTAAATTTGACTGTGGTCTGTATATTTAATATATAATCAGACAAATGGCAAGTATGAGTACTACTATGCCTAATGTTCCCGTCAGTCATGGGGAGAAGCCCAAAAATTTCAATGGGGCGGAGTTTAAAAGGTGGCAACAAAAAATGATGTTCTACCTTACAACTCTGAATCTAAGCAAGTATCTAACTGAAACTGCCCCAGTGCTAGATAAGGGTGAGACTGACATTACCAAGCTATGAGCTGTTGATACATGGAAGCATGGAGACTTCCTATGCAATAACTACATCCTCAATGGATTGGACAACACTTTATATAATGTGTACAGTCCAATAAATACTGCTAAAGAGCTCTGGGAGTCACTAGACAAAAAGTATAAAATAGAGGATGCTGGCTTGAAGAAGTTCGTGGTCGGACGATTTCTGAACTTCAAAATGATAGACTCCAAGATAGTCATGAGCCAAGTGCAGGAGCTCCAGCTGATCCTACATGAGATACATGCTGAGAAGATGACATTGAGTGAATCCTTTCAAGTAGCTTCAATCATTGAAAAGCTGCCACCTACTTGGAAAGATCTCAAAAATTACTTGAAGCATAAGCGTAAGGAAATGGGGATCGAAAACCTGATTGTCAGGCTAAGAATTGAAGAAGATAACCGCTCATCTGAAAAGAAAGCCGGGAATTCTTCAATGGTGTCAAAGGCAAATGTAGTGGAAGTTGGACAGAAGAATAAGAAGAGGAAGTACTCTGGCGAAGGTCCCAGCCAAGGAAACTACAAGAGGTTCACTGGGAAGTGCTTCATATGCGGCAAGCTAGGACACCGAGCTAAAGACTGTCGTAGCCGCAACGCACAACACAACCCCAAGAAAAAGACCACTGAGGTGCATATTGCTGAGGAAGATAAGTTGACAGCTGATGTGTCAGAGCTAAATCTTTCAGCTGTGATTTCTAAAATCAACCTGGTGAGCAACAATAGAGAATGGTGGGTGGACACAGGAGCTACTCGTCATGTTTGCTCTGAAAAGAAGATGTTCACTACCTATGAAGCTATAGATAATGAAGAACAACTCTACATGGGGAACTCTTCTACTGCAAATGTTGAAGGATAAGGAAAGATCAAGCTACTAATGACCTCAGGGAAAGAACTCACTCTTAATAATGTGCTGCATGTACCAGACATCAGGAAGAACTTGGTCTCTGGGTCACTTCTAAGCAAGAATGGGTTCAAGCTGGTCTTTGTATCTGACAAGTTTGTGCTGACTAAGAATGGGGTGTATGTGGGCAAAGGGTATCTAAGTAATGGATTATTTAAGTTCAATGTAATGACTGTTGAACCCAAAGCTATTAATAATAATAATAAAGCTAATACTTCTTCTGCTTATATGATAGAATCATCTGATGTGTGGCATGATAGGTTAGGACATGTTAATTATGATACGATTCGTAGATTAATTAAC